CTCGCCTGGAGGGCCCTCGCCTGGAGGAGGGCCCTCGCCTGATGGAGGGCCCTCGCCTGGTGGAGGGCCCTCGCCTGGTGGAGGGCCCTCGCCTGGACGAGGACCCTCGCCTGGTGGAGGGCCCTCGCCTGGTGGATGGCCCTCGCCTGGTGGAGGGCCCTCGCCTGGTGGAGGGCCCTCGCCTGGTGGAGCCCTTGCCTGGTGGAGGGCCCTCGCCTGGTGGAGGGCCCTCGCCTGGTGGAGGGCCCTCGCCTGGTGGAGGGCCCTCGCCTGGTGGAGGGACCGCGAGGTGAGAGCGACCATTCGTGCTGCGTCCCATCGCGTGCTCGGCACTCCCCCAAGTGATTTGCCTCCCGTTTGTGTCAAATTATTCGAGTTGATTTTCTATGACCGGGGCGAGAACTCACGAGGCCACGATGGGAGTCTCATTCACGAGAGGAAGCAGGGTCACCACAACTATAACCACAACTATAACCAAAACCAATTAAATAATGTGCAGTACAGCAGCCATGAGACAAATAAAAAATAAACTATTATTTTATTTTTCCAGGTAAGGCCTACTGAATTAAATCTCTTTTTCAGTAGCGACCTGGATATCACAAATTATAGCTCAACGAATTGGCTTATCATCACGTTGCAGCCAGATAATCTAAACGCGTGATGTTGATTCTAAATGTGGAGGCAAAAACCGGAGAACCCGGAGAAAAATCCACGCGACCACGGGGAGAGAGACACGCAACCTCCAAATCTACAGCAGCAGGCGTCAGGGTCGGGATCGAACTCACGACCTCCTGTATACCAGGCGAGGGAGTTAACATCTCCCAGCCACCGTGGCGCCCCCATAGCAAACAGCGAAAAAACCACCGCGTCAAATGGCGGTTTTAGTTGTTAAAATATCACGGCTGTGGAGCGTGGCCGGGCTTTGTGGCGATGTTGCAAATGGGTCTTTAACGTCCCCGTTACGAGTCACAGGGAGAGCGAAGCTTCTGCAGGTGGTGGTGGTGGTGGCGGCGACTAGCTCATACAGTCCTCGGCTGGAACAAGCGCTGCGGCTGGACTGCATTGCGCACGAGCGGCTCGCGATAGCCACACGCCACTCTGCTGCGAGCGTTGCAACTGCGCCTGGGTTCGAACTCTTCCGTGTGAGCTCGAGAGCTTGTGCCCGCAAAGAGGGCGGGCGGCAGAGGGAGAGGACAACAGTGGATTCCTGTGCGCTGTTTGTGTTCACCATTGAAATGGCAGAGGGGGGTTGGAGGTCACCTGGCCGAGAGAGTGACGGAGCTCCACACAGAGAGACCGAGCTCCACACAGAGAGAGACGGAGCTCCACAGAGAGAGAGACGGAGCTCCACAGAGAGATGGAGCTTCACAGAGAGAGAGAGAGACGGAGCTCCACAGAGAGAGAGAGACGGAGCTCCACAGAGAGACGGAGCTTCACAGAGAGATGGAGCTTCACAGAGAGAGAAACGGAGCTCCAGACAGAGAGAGACGGAGCTCCACAGAGAGATGGAGCTTCACAGAGAAACGGAGCTCCACACAGAGAGACGGAGCTCCACACAGAGAGACGGAGCTCCACAGAGAGATGGAGCTTCACAGAGAGAGAAGCGGAGCTCCACACAGAGAGACGGAGCTCCACACAGAGAGACGGAGCTCCACACAGAGGGAGACGGAGCTACACAGAGAGATGGAGCTCCACAGAGAGAGAGACGGAGCTCCACACAGAGAGAGAGTGACGGAGCTCCACACAGAGAGAAACGGAGCTCCACAGAGAGACGGAGCTTCACAGGGAGAGAAACGGAGCTCCACAGAGAGATGGAGCTTCACAGAGAAACGGAGCTCCACACAGAGAGACGGAGCTCCACACAGAGAGAGACGGAGCTCCACAGAGAGATGGAGCTTCACAGAGAGAGAAACAGAGCTTCACACAGAGAGACGGAGCTCCACACAGAGAGAGAGACGGAGCTCCACATAGAGATGGAGCTTCACAGAGAGAGAAACGGAGCTCCACACAGAGAGACGGAGCTCCACACAGAGACGGAGCTCCACAGAGAGATGGAGCTTCACAGAGAAACGGAGCTCCACAGAGAGAGACGGAGCTCCACACAGAGAGACGGAGCTCCACACAGAGAGAGACGGAGCTCCACAGAGAGACGGAGCTCCACAGAGAGAGAGACGGAGCTCCACAGAGAGATGGAGCTTCACAGAGAGAGAGAGAGACAGAGCTCCACAGAGAGAGAGACGGAGCTCCACAGAGAGACGGAGCTTCACAGAGAGATGGAGCTTCACAGAGAAACGGAGCTCCAGACAGAGAGAGACGGAGCTCCACAGAGAGATGGAGCTTCACAGAGAAACGGAGCTCCACACAGAGAGACGGAGCTCCACACAGAGAGACGGAGCTCCACAGAGAGATGGAGCTTCACAGAGAGAGAAGCGGAGCTCCACACAGAGAGACGGAGCTCCACACAGAGAGACGGAGCTCCACACAGAGGGAGACGGAGCTACACAGAGAGATGGAGCTCCACAGAGAGAGAGACGGAGCTCCACACAGAGAGAGAGAGAGTGACGGAGCTCCACACAGAGAGAAACGGAGCTCCACAGAGAGACGGAGCTTCACAGGGAGAGAAACGGAGCTCCACAGAGAGATGGAGCTTCACAGAGAAACGGAGCTCCACACAGAGAGACGGAGCTCCACACAGAGAGAGACGGAGCTCCACAGAGAGATGGAGCTTCACAGAGAGAGAAACAGAGCTTCACACAGAGAGACAGAGCTCCACACAGAGAGACGGAGCTCCACATAGAGATGGAGCTTCACAGAGAGAGAAACGGAGCTCCACACAGAGAAACGGAGCTCCACACAGAGACGGAGCTCCACAGAGAGATGGAGCTTCACAGAGAAACGGAGCTCCACAGAGAGAGACGGAGCTCCACACAGACAGAGAGACGGAGCTCCACAGAGAGAGAGACGGAGGTCCACACAGAGAGAGAAAGACGAGCTCCACACAGAGAGAGAGAGATGGAGCTTCACAGAGACAGAGTCAGAGATGGAGCTCCACACAGAGAGATGGAGCTCCACAGAGAGACGGAGCTCCACAGAGAAGAGATTCGTAGCATAGCCGCCGTCACCAGCGTCCTGTTCCACGCTGCTCGGGTCGCGACAAGTGGAGCTGTGCTCGCGTTGGCGAGGCCGCCGCGGTGATCTCCGCGAGTGGCTTTGTTCTGGATCATTTCCGTGGAGGGCGGCTGCATTGCTTGGGAAACGTTTGCAAATTACACAACAAAGCAGCGTCAGAATGTAATTTACATGCACGGGTGCAAAGCCTTAGCATGCTCCATAATACAGTTTTTTGGGGGTTAGATCGCGTAAATATATAGATGTGTCGTTAAACTCGCCACCACCCGACGCAGCCAATTAGTAAGGGGTTGTCACGTGAGCAGCACAGCACACCGGTGTGTTGGAGAGAAAGTCCACAACATTTACAATCTGAGTACGACGTTTCGCCAGTAATTACAACTGGCATCATCAGGCGGTAGCCAAATTTGCGGTAACATATTATTGGTTCACTTGTGAGCCCTGAACGTGCGAAGAAGGACTGAGTGTGCTGTTTGTTCCACATTGAAGTCTGACTTTGCTGTTAACACAACGCGTCGTCCATTAGGGGGCCGCTGTTTCCACCTCCAAGGGCTGTGATGTTTGCGGCCACCTCTCAACTGGTGGATGTCGTATCGCAGTCATCGTTCGCATGCGAGTCAGTTGGGGAAGCCACAGCCCCTCTGGGAGCGCGAAATTACCAATTTACGTCTTCCCGCGGGCGGTTAAGGGTCTCCACGCGCAGTTCCACTGCGATTTTGCGTCGAAACGTGGCCCCCGCGGCTCAAATGCGTTGTAAATCAAGAAATGCGCTTAAAGACGAGCGTCTTAATGGCAAAACGCATAGCGGACAGCGCCCCCTTGTGGTGGTAGAATTTGAACCTGGGACCGGTGCGTCAAGAGGCTTGCGCGTGTTGCCGCTACGCCAAGCACGCTGGTGCTTATGTAACGTTGTTCGAAGTTATTAAGTATCTGTAAAAGTGAATGTTGAATTATTGAACGATTATAATTTTTTTTTACTTTTTTGAAATTGATGACAAAAAGCATGCAGTGCACAACTGCACTGTTAATGTAATGCGTGTGATTTCATTACATCATTCGTTTATATAACAAAAAATTGCCGTAAAAATATGTTGTGTAAAGAAAGTACGGTATCCAACTCGTATTCACACAATCTCTCTCTCTCTCTCGACTGGCCTCTCTGTTTATTTACTTTAAAGGAGGCGGACCATTGTTTACGAACGTGTTTCGTGACGTTTTTGTTATTTACAGGGACAGAACAATGTTCGCCAGCGTTCAAGAACAATTTTAATATTATCATCGGGGAAAACAATGAATCATTAACATTGCAAAAATATTTACATGAAGGGCAGAAAGAAGGCGACTGCTGATGCTGCTGAATATAAATCTAGAATTTATATATTTGTATTCTTGCAATTAAAAGACACGAATCTGTTGTTGTTATTGTTGCAGCTTTGAACACTCAACAACATGACGGTTAAACCCCTGCGCAGCATACTGTATACAACACAACAACCACCGCTGTTTGCCACCACAGCCTTGTGCCAGAGTAGGTGCACATTGAGGCCACGTGAAGTGTCGAGGGCTCGCGGTTTGTAAGAAGTCACGAGACAGAGCCAGGCGACATGGGTTGACTGAGATGCCTGGCAGAACTGTGTGCCCCCCACCCCCTGTTGTGCCACCTCGCTGCGTTTTATCCGCCCGGCGCTCCAGTCGTTGTTGTGAGCGTCGCTCCACTGCCCTCCGTCTGTGTGTACGAGTTTGCCTTCACGTTGTAGGAAACCGGCGAACCCGGAGAGGAACAAAAACATTCACCGCGCCGAGCACGAATTCTGGAACCTACTTGGTGTACTGCCTTGCCCAGGCCACCGAGCACTCCAGTGTGGCGATTGCTCTGTGTTTTTTTTATTAACAAAGGGCCCTCTGCTCCATTGTATTTGGTGTCGCCGGCTCCAGTGCCGATTAAACCCGAATCTAAATCTCCCTGTTCGACGAATCTGATCCTGTATTTACGCCCCGTTCCTAACTGCACATTCCCCCGATTGCAAAGCCGGGGGGGAGGACCTTTACCCTCTGATCTGGCAGCACCGCGTGGTGTTGGCGGCTGCCGCGGATTTCTAATCTCGGCGGTACGTTGGCGGCTGCTGAAGGTTTCTAACCGAGGTGATTAGTTGGCGGCTGCCGCGGACTTCTAATTGGGGGGCGGGGGGGGTTGGCGGCTGCTCCAGGTGTCTTGCCTAGGTGATGAGTTTGGCGGCTGCCGCGTTTTCTCACCGGGGTATGGGTTGGCGGCTGCTGTAGGGTTGTAAGCGAAGTGATGAGGTGGCGGCTACCGCGGATTTCTAGTCGGGGTGATGGGTTGGCGGCTGCTCCAGGTGTCCAACCGAGGTGATTTATTTATTTAGCGCATGCTTTTGACTTTCACGCAGAGCACCGGATACACAAGAAAAATAGACTTGAATTAAATAAACATGCCAACGTTCTGTGTGAGTGGACGTCAGCCCACGTCAGCACAGAGCCACGTGACAACCTCCTCCTCCAGCACATGCAGAACAACAACAACCACCACCACCACCAGTGACGGACTTCACAGCCGCAGGCGACCTGCGACCACGGCCTCCCGGCTCCCGGCATGCCACCGCGGCCTGCCACGCAGTCGCACGCCCCAACACCACGTGCACACCCTGGTCACGCGGCAGGTCGTCGATTTCATAGCTGTCAACCCCTTATCGGTGCCCTACCTTGTTACAGACCAACTCAGAACTTAATGGTCACCCGGAGACCCTTAAAAATCTCAACGTTCATCCTACAAAGTCCCATCGCGAGGGAGAAACACAAACAGATAGACACAGCCATGCGTGATGCCCCTGTTGAAACGGCTGTAACGCCGCTTGGACCTGAACACTCACTCTCCCTGTACAAGAATACGGGGTAAACCGTACGGGTCGATAGCTGTGCGATGTAGATGTCGTAGATGATCGTCGGGGGTAAGAACAGACACCGTCCATCTCCAATGAGCTGGCCGTGTTGTTGTTGTTGTTGATGTCCTGGAAGCAGCGATGTTTGAGAAGACGCTCGAGACTTGTTCACTTGCCAACGCGGCAGGCCTCGTGACAGCTTCGGCAGCAAGTGCGGCGCCCGGCGCCACAGACCCCCGCCGTGGTGGTAACGCCGCCGTGAGGTCCAGGAACGCGACGCGTGTGAGAACGGGTGCCGAACGGGTGCCCTTCTCACACGAAGGAAGTTGTCAGTGCCAGGGGCTGGTCGCAAGCGCCGTGGAGGCATCCAGGCGGGTTCGACGGTCAGGACCCGTCGCTGGCGATCGCTGTGAGATGCCTTCCGGCGCCCATCACTCCGGGAGTTTTCGGCGCACGCACTCAGAAGCAGCGGGGTCTGTAGCACGATGTTATAAAGGGGCATTAAATAAAACAAAAAACACGTAAATATTAAAACACAAATGTTTAACTTGCATAGTAAAGTCATTGTATTGTTTCGTTTGCTATACAGCCAGATAATACGACAGATCGCTAACCTTAAACACCCAGTCGTTCATATATTGCTACTGTAATAGATCAAGTGCAGAATCGCTGAACCGTAATTGGTAGCTTGAAAGCATTTAGCGTGGGGCCCTTGAAAGTAGCTACTACTACATATGTACTACTACATATGTACTACATATGTAGTAGCAGCTACTACATATACAGTAGCTGCTACTACATAGTAGCCACGAGGCTAATGCGGCACTGCTCAGGAGAGAAGAGGATCCCCGTGACTCCCCGCTACGTTGAGCTCCTTCGCCGCCTCTGGGAGTTCTCCGCATTTTGTGGCAGCCGGCGTTCTGACGCAATTCGTGTGAAGAAAGTTGCGAGCGAGTGCTGCTCCGTGGGATCCGAGGTAGTCCAGGGTGGGGTGGGTCCGTATCGTCTCGACCAGCAGCCTTGCCAGTTTGTTAATTTGTCCAAGCGCGCTCAACGTTCATCGGCGAGCGGGCGAGAGGCTCGCGATTGACGGCGTTCCGTCTCACGACTCCACGTGGCCTCCGTGGCGCTCGCGTGCCCTTGAAAAAGAGCTTCATAGCTCATCGGATTTCTCCAGGATAAATACAGATTCTGATTCTAGCCGGGCGTGGTGCCGGCCACCCACCCCCTCGTGTGCCGTGCCGGCCTTCATAGGCGCTACTCGCTACTCACAGCACTTGCCCCCAACAATATGTTAAAGGCGACACGGGGGATCTTTGTCTTTGTAGCCGCGGGTACAAAGTTGCCCTGAGTAGCTATTGAGTAACAGGCACAAACACATTAAGGCCTTTCTCTGCGAGAGCTTGTATGGCCGTATCAGCTGACACCGAATCAAGTGTCAGGCAGGGCGCTACGCGATATGAAAGTGTCAAGTCCAGGCCCTGATGGATCGCAGCACACGCGCACGTTTTCACAGTGATTGCCCTGCTGCTCCTCGTGAGCACTGACTGCTCATCTCATGCTTCACAGCCCTGTCAGAGCCAGCGGTGGAAATTCCACATTCCTACGGCGGCGGGTGAGAACGGTGGACATGGCCGCGAATTGAACTCGTGTCGCCTGTTTTATAGTGCGGTGCGCTAGCCGCTGCTCCAAATGTCTCGAAGACGAAGATCTCCCGTGCAGCCTTTAACGGAGTGTTGGGGCAAGTGCCGTGAGCGAGTAGCAGCACCTGTGAAGGCCGACACGGCACACGAGGTGGGTGGGTAGGAGGGGGAGCCGTCAGGCCCGGCTGCCTTTGTCTCCCCATCGCACCTGGTACTAATTGTTAAGGCTGAGTCAACCCAGGGGAAGCCCGGAACCTGTTCAGATATACGTCACTGACGTTGGCTGTGAGCCCGAATCGAACTCGGGTCGCCAGGTTCGTAGCACAGTGTGATAATCATTGCGCCACCGCTCCCCTCATAGACTCTCTTACCCCACTGCCGGGGTAACACAGAGGATGTGATCACGATAACTCGATAACTTGATAACTCGATAACTCGAGTTAACACGGTGGCTAACTCGCGGAATGAAGAGGGGTGGGGAGGAGGGTGGCGGAGGTTCAGTAGGGAGGAGGTGGAGTAGAGAGGGAGGAGGAGGTGGAGGAGAGGGGGAGGAGGTGGAGGAAGAGGGGGAGGAGGAGGAGAAGGGGAGGAGGAGGTGGAGGAAGAGGGGGAGGAGGAGGTGGAGGAGAGAGGGAGGAGGTGGAGGAGAGAGGGAGGAGGAGGTGGAGGAGAGAGGGAGGAGGAGGGGAGAGTGAGTAGGTGGAGGAGAGGGGGAGGAGGAGGTGGAGGAGGAGAGAGAGAGGAGGAGGTGGAGGAGAGGGGGAGGAGGAGAGAGGGAGGAGGTGGAGGAGAGGGGGAGGTGGAGTAGAGAGGGAGGAGGAGGTGGAGGATAGGGGGAGGAGGAGGTGGAGTAGAGAGGGAGGAGGAGGTGGAGGAGAGGGGGAGGTGGAGGAGAAATGGAGTAGGAAGAGAGGGGGCAGAGAGAGGGGGGGGCGGAGAGGGGGTAGAGAGAGAGGAGAGGCAGAGAGGGGGGTAGAGAGAGAGGGAAGGGGAAAGAAAAAGAAAAACATATTTTGGGTCTTTCATTTAAAAGGGGGGGGGGGGGGTTACATAAAGCAAAGCATTAAAAAAAAACAAAAAAAACGAAATGATGAACGGAGCAAAGTGCCGACTACACCGAGCATCTTCTTGTTTCTTCTGATCGTAAAAAAAGAGAGGGAGGAGGTGGAGGAGAGAGGGAGGAGGTGGAGGAGAGAGGGAGGAGGAGGTGGAGGAGGAGGAGGTGGAGTATGAGATGGAGCCTGGCTTCGCGGCTCTCATCTCGAAGTGAAACTCGCGATTTTCATCCCCCCCCTTAGGGGGGGGGGGGGGGCGCGCGAGGGGGCGGGGGAGGGAGTGACCCCCCCCCCCCCCATCCTTTAAATGTGGAGGGACGCGGGCCTCGAGCGCAGAGCGACTCCAGGATCAGTGAGGAGGAGATCGAGGAGGAGGTAGAGGAGGTGATAGAGGAGGCGTCATACTCAGGGTCTGTTTCACCCAACAGACTCCATAGACAGAGTCCCTCACCACGTATTCAGTACTCTCACTGCTGGACCGATCACCGCTCTTAGCGAGCACCTATTATTACACTCACCCACACACTCTCTCTTTAAAACACTCCCCACACTCACTCAGACTCACTCGCCCACACTTCCACACTCACTCTCACCCACCCGCCCACTCCACCCACCATGCACGTGTTACTGGACCTCGTGTTGACCGTGGGCCGCGTGCTGCGCGCCCTCCTGGCCGCGGGCTCGCGTTGGGTCGTGCGCCCTCGTCCCAAGAGCGTGGCGCAGGACCTCTGCGTTATCACGGGCGCCGCGGGGGGCCTGGGACGCCTCTTCGCGCGCGAGCTCGCCTCGCGGGGGGCCTGCGTGGCCCTCTGGGACCTCGACGGCGCCGCGGTTGAGGCGACGGCGCGCGAGCTTCGCGAGTCGCTGGGCGCCCGCGCCGTGGCGTTCACGTGCGACGTGAGCCGCAGTGCCGAGGTGTACCGCGTGGCCGAGAGCGTGCGGCGCGAGATGGGCCGACACCCGACAATGCTCATCAACAACGCCGGGGTGGTGTCGGGGAGACCGCTCCTCGACTGCCCCGACCGCCTCATCGAGAGGACTCTGTCCGTGAACTGCACCGCGCACTTCTGGGTGCGTGGGGGTGCATGGCGCGTGGAGGACGATGGGTCCGTGCGCGTGTGTGTGTGAGAGAGAGAGAGTGTGGGTGTGTGTGTGAGAGAGACTGTGCGTGTGTGTGTGAGAGAGTGTGCGTATGTGTGTGAGAGACTGTGTGTGTGAGAGACTGTGCGTGCGTGTGAGAGAGACTGTGAAAGTGTGTGTGTGTGTGAGAGAGTGTGCGTGTGTGTGTGAGAGACTGTGAAAGTGTGTGTGAGAGAGAGAGAGTGTGCGTGTGTGTGAGAGAGACTATGCGTGTGTGTGAGGGAGAGAGTGTGCGTGTGTGTGTGAGAGACTGTGCGTGTGTGTGTGAGAGAAAGTGTGCGTGTGTGTGAGAGACTGTGCGTGTGTGAGAGAGAGAGTGTGCGTGTGTGTGAGAGAGAGAGAGTGTGCGTGTGTGTGAGAGAGACTGTGCGTGTGTGTGAGAGAGAGAGTGTGCGTGTGTGTGTGAGCTACTGTGTGTGAGAGACTGTGCGTGTGTGTGAGAGAGAGTGTACGTGTGTGTGAAAGAGAGTGTGCGTGTGTGTGAGAGAGACTGTGCGTGTGTGTGAGAGAGAGTGTGCGTGTGTGTGAGAGTGTGCGTGTGTGTGAGAGACTGTGCGTGTGTGAGAGAGAGAGAGGGTGTGCGTGTGTGTGTGAGAGACTGTGTGTGTGAGGGACTGTGCGTGTGTGTGAGAGAGAGTGTGCGTGTGTGTGAGAGAGAGTGTGCGTGTGTGAGAGAGAGAGTGTGCGTGTGAGAGAGAGAGTGTGCGTGCCAGTGGCACGTGCTCACTGGCACACTCGTAGTGACACATGGTGGGCAGTGACACACTCACAGTGACACACTCACAGTGACACGCACGTAGTGGCACACTGTGGCAATGCCATGCACACACCGACAGAGGCACATTCACTGGCACACTCGTAGTGACACGCTGACACTGACCATGGAACAGAGACCGATCGACTCACACAGAGACCCACAGACTCACACAGTCTTACAGACTCACACAGAAACCCATATACCCACACAGTCTAACAGACTCGCACAGAGACCCACAGACCCACCCAGTCTTACAGACTCATAGAGACCCACAGACCCACACAGTCTTACAGACTCACTCAGAGACCCACAGACTCGCATAGTCTTACAGACTCACACAGAGACCCACAGAGACCCACAGACTCACACAGAGACCCACACAGTCTTACAGACTCACACAGAGACCCACAGACTCACATAGAGACCCACACAGTCTTACAGACTCACATAGAGTCCCACAGACCCACACAGAGACCCACAGACTCACACAGAGACCCACAGACCCACACAGCCTTACAGACTCACAGAGACCCACAGACCCACACAGTCTACAGACTCACACATGGACCCACAGACCCACACAATCTTACAGACCCACACAGAGACCCACAGACCCACACAGTCTTACAGACTCACATAGAGACCCACAGACCCACACAGAGACCCACAGACTCACACAGAGACCCACAGACCCACACAGACTTACAGACTCACGCAGAGGCCCACAGACTCACACAGAGACCCACAGACCCACACAGTCTTACAGACTCACACAGAGACCCACAGATTCACATAGAGACCCACAGACCCACACAGTCTTACAGACTCGCATAGAGATCCACAGACCCACACAGTCTTACAGACTCGCACAGAGACCCACAGACCCACCCAGTCTTACAGACTCATAGAGACCCACAGACACACACAGTCTTACAGACTCACATAGAGTCCCACAGACCCACACAGAGACCCACAGACTCACACAGAGACCCACAGACCCACACAGTCTTACAGACTCACATAGAGACCCACAGACCCACACAGTCTACAGACTCACACATGGACCCACAGACCCACACAATCTTACAGACCCACACAGAGACCCACAGACCCACACAGTCTTACAGACTCACACAGAGACCCACAGACTCACATAGAGACCCACAGACCCACACAGTCTTACAGACTCACGAAGAGACCCACAGACCCACACAGAGACCCACAGACTCACACAGAGACCCACAGACCCACACAGTCTTACAGACTCACACAGAGACCCACAGACTCACATAGAGACCCACACAGTCTTATAGACTCACATAGAGACCCACAGACCCACACAGAGACCCACAGACTCACACAGAGACCCACAGACCCACACAGTCTTACAGACTCACACAAAGACCCACAGACTCACATAGAGACCCACAGACCCACACAGTCTTACAGACTCACACAGAGGCCCACAGACTCACACAGAGACCCACAGACCCACAGTCTTACAGACTCACACAGAGACCCACAGACTCACATAGAGACCCACAGACCCACACAGAGACCCACAGACTCACGCAGAGACCCACAGACCCACACAGTCTTACAGACTCACACAGAGACCCACAGACCCACACAGTCTACAGACTCACACAGAGACCCACAGACCCACACAGTCTTACAGACTCACACAGAGACCCACAGACCCACCCAGTCTTACAGACTCACACAGAGACCCACAGACTCACACAGTCTTACAGACTCACATAGAGACCCACAGACCCACACAGTCTTACAGACTCACATAGAGACCCACAGACCCACACAGAGACCCACAGACTCACACAGAGCTCCACAGACTCACACAGAGATCCACAGATTCACACAGAGACCCACAGACCCACCCAGTCTTACAGACTCACACAGAGACCCACAGACCCACCCAGTCTTACAGACTCACACAGAGACCCACAGACTCACACAGTCTTACAGACTCACACAGAGACCCACAGACCCACACAGTCTTACAGACTCGCACAGAGACCCACAGACCCACACAGTCTTACAGACTCGCACAGAGACCCACAGACCCACACAGTCTTACAGACTCACACAGAGACCCACAGACTCACATAGAGACCCACAGACCCACACAGTCTTACCGACTCACACAGAGACCCACAGACCCACATAGTCTTACAGACTCACATAGAGACCCACAGACCCACACAGTCTTACAGACTCACATAGAGACCCACAGACGCATACAGTCTTACAGACTCACACAGAGACCCACAGACCCACATCGAGACCCACAGACCCACACAGTCTTACAGACTCACATAGAGACCCACAGACCCACACAGCCTTACAGACTCACAGAGACCCACAGACCCACACAGTCTTACAGACTCACATAGAGACCCACAGTCCCACACAGTCTACAGACTCACACATGGACCCACAGACCCACACAATCTTACAGACCCACACAGAGACCCACAGACCCACACAGTCTTACAGACTCACACAGAGACCCACAGACTCACATAGAGACCCACAGACCCACACAGTCTTACAGACTCACGAAGAGACCCACAGACCCACACAGAGACCCACAGACTCACACAGAGACCCACAGACCCACACAGTCTTACAGACTCACACAGAGACCCACAGACTCACATAGAGACCCACAGACCCACACAGTCTTATAGACTCACATAGAGACCCACAGACCCACACAGAGACCCACAGACTCACACAGAGACCCACAGACCCACACAGTCTTACAGACTCACACAGAGACCCACAGACTCACATAGAGACCCACAGACCCACACAGTCTTACAGACTCACACAGAGGCCCACAGACTCACACAGAGACCCACAGACCCACAGTCTTACAGACTCACACAGAGACCCACAGACTCACATAGAGACCCACAGACCCACACAGAGACCCACAGACTCACGCAGAGACCCACAGACCCACACAGTCTTACAGACTCACACAGAGACCCACAGACCCACACAGTCTACAGACTCACACAGAGACCCACAGACCCACACAGTCTTACAGACTCACACAGAGACCCACAGACCCACCCAGTCTTACAGACTCACACAGAGACCCACAGACTCACACAGTCTTACAGACTCACATAGAGACCCACAGACCCACACAGTCTTACAGACTCACATAGAGACCCACAGACCCACACAGAGACCCACAGACTCACACAGAGATCCACAGACTCACACAGAGATCCACAGATTCACACAGAGACCCACAGACCCACCCAGTCTTACAGACTCACACAGAGACCCACAGACCCACCCAGTCTTACAGACTCACACAGAGACCCACAGACTCACACAGTCTTACAGACTCACACAGAGACCCACAGACCCACACAGTCTTACAGACTCGCACAGAGACCCACAGACCCACACAGTCTTACAGACTCGCACAGAGACCCACAGACCCACACAGTCTTACAGACTCACACAGAGACCCACAGACTCACATAGAGACCCACAGACCCACACAGTCTTACCGACTCACACAGAGACCCACAGACCCACATAGTCTTACAGACTCACATAGAGACCCACAGACCCACACAGTCTTACGGACTCACATAGAGACCCACAGACCCACACAGTCTTACAGACTCACACAGAGACCCACAGACCCACATCAAGACCCACAGACCCACACAGTCTTACAGACTCACATAGAGACCCACAGACCCACACAGCCTTACAGACTCACAGAGACCCACAGACCCACACAGTCTTACAGACTCACATAGAGACCCACAGACCCACACAGTCTTACAGACTCACACAGAGACCCACAGACCCACATAGAGACCCACAGACCCACACAGTCTTACAGACTCACATAGAGACCCACAGACCCACACAGAGACCCACAGACTCACACAGAGATCCACAGACTCACACAGAGATCCACAGACTCACACAGAGACCCACAGACCCACCCAGTCTTACAGACTCACACAGAGACCCACAGACCCACCCAGTCTTACAGACTCACACAGAGACCCACAGACTCACACAGTCTTACAGACTCACACAGAGACCCACAGACCCACACAGTCTTACAGACTCGCACAGAGACCCACAGACCCACACAGTCTTACAGACTCGCACAGAGACCCACAGACCCACACAGTCTTACAGACTCACACAGAGACCCACAGACTCACACAGAGACCCACAGACCCACATAGTCTTACCGACTCACACAGAGACCCACAGACCCACATAGTCTTACAGACTCACATAGAGACCCACAGACCCACACAGTCTTACAGACTCACACAGAGACCCACAGACCCACATCGAGACCCACAGACCCACACAGTCTTACAGACTCACATAGAGACCCACAGACCCACACAGTCTTACAGACTCACACAGAGACCCACATAGAGACCCACACAGTCTTACAGACTCACATAGAGACCCACAGACCCACACAGTCTTACAGACTCACACAGAGACCCACAAACCCACACAGTCTTACAGACACACAGAGACCCACAGACCCACACAGTCATACAGAGACCCACAGACCCACACAGTCATACAGAGACCCACAGACCCACACAGTCTTACAGACTCACACAGAGACCCACAGACCCACACAGTCTTACAGAGACCCACAGACCCACACAGTCATACAGAGACCCATAGACCCACACAGTCGTACAAACTCACACAAAAACCCACCACTCATCACAAAATCCATGGCCAATCATCCCAGCGTAGCCGGACCCTCCTGATAAGGAGTCGTGAGACTTCTCGGCGATGCCTTCCTGGGTTGAATCAAGGACACACTCCAACTAGCAAGGACCACGACGAGGGCTGTGTTGCTCTTAGTCAAAGTTGTGGAGGAGGCGAGGCGCAGGCGAGGCGCTAATCCTCCTCCTGAGCGCGGCCTCGTGACGGGGATCAGCCCGCATCGTGACTCGGATCGACGGGGTCCGGCTTATCCCCCAACTCGTGGTGCTCGCTAATTGGCCCACCACCCCCACCGCCACCCCACCACCACCCCACCACCCCCACCGCCATCCCACCACCCACCCCCACTACCTCCACCTCGTCGCCCAATTAAGTGTGCGTGCGTGCGCGCGCGAGAGAGTGAATTGGTACCGCTCACGTGACCGCGAGGGGCTGTTGAGACGACGATGTAAGATCCCGAAATCACGCGGCTCTGTGAACTCCTCGCTCTCTCTCACAATGACCCCTATCGTTGACCGAATGACCTCTCACAAATGACCCCTCTCCTTGACCGAATGACCTATCTCGCAATAAACCCTCTCCTTGACCGAATGACATCTCGCAATCACCCCTCTCCTTGACCGAATGACCTCTCTCACAACGAACCCTCTCCTTGACCGAATTACCTCTCTCGCAATCACCCCTCTCCTTGACCGAATTACCTCTCTCACAATGAACCCTCTCCTTAACCGAATGACCTATCTCACAATCACCCCTCTCCTTGACCGAATGACCTCGCCCGCTCTCACCCAACGACCCCTATCATTGACCGAATGACCTCTCTCACGATTGTCCCTCTCCATGACCGAATGACCTCGCTCGCTCTCACACAAATGACCCCTCTCCTTGACCGAATGACCTCGCTATCACACAATTACCCCTCTCCTTGACCTAATGACCTCTCTCGCTCTCTCTGACCGGTTGACCTCAGACGGTCAAGGCCTTCCTGCCGGACATGGTGGAGAAGAACCATGGACACATCGTGACCATCGCCAGCGCCCTGGGCCTCTTCAGCACCGCGGGGGTGGAGGCAAGCGAGCTCACTCACACAGACAAAGGTCCCCCCCACCCCCGTATAGTCTCGGCAGGCCATTGGGGCAAGTGCTGTTTGTCAGGAGAAGTAGCGGCACCTGTGGAAGGCCGCCACGGCGCACGAGGGGGCGTTGTGTGGTCAACACCGCACTAAGCACTGCGCCACCGCTCCCCACACTCATTAAAGACAAAGATCTACCGTATAGGCCACTCGAAGCTATTGGTGAGACTATCCTGGTCTCTTGGGTTATCACCGGGTTAAACATTTCTCACTCGCTCACCCACTCACTCACCCACTCACTCACCCACTCACTCATTCACTCATTCACTCACACACTCACTCACCCACTCACTCACTCACCCACTCACCCACTCACCCACCCACTCACCCACCCACCCACCTACTCACCCACCCACTCACTCACCCACGTACTCATACACCCACTCATTCACCCACTCACTCACTCACCCACTCACCCACTCACTCACGCACTCACTCACCCACTCACTCATGCACTCACTCACCCACTCATTCACTCACCCACTCACCCACTCACCCACTCACTCACCCACTCACCCACTCACTCACTGACTCACCCACTCACTCATTCACTCACACACTCACCCACTCATTCACTCATTCACTCACCCACTCACTCACCCACTCACCCACCCACTCACCCACTCACCCACTCATTCACGCACTCACCCACTCACTCACGCACTCACCCACTCACTCACGCACTCACTCACTCACCCACTCATTCACTCACGCACTCACTCACCCATTCACTCACTCATTCACTCACCTATTCACCCACTCACTCACTCACCCACTCACTCACCCACTCACCCACTCACTCACCCACCCATCCACCCACCCACTCACTCACCCACTCACTCACTCACTCACCCACTCACTCATTCACTCACACACTCACTCACCCACTCACTCACTCACTCACCCACTCACTCACCCACTCACCCACCCACTCACCCACCCACCCACTCACCCACCCACCCACTCACTCACTCACCCACCCACTCACTCACCCACTCACCCACTCATTCACGCACTCACCCACTCACTCACCCACTCACTCACCCACTCACCCACTCACTCACGCACTCACTCACTCACCCACTCACTCACGCACTCATTCACTCACCCATTCACTCACTCATTCACTCACCCACTCACCCACTCACCCACTCACTCACCCACTCACCCACTGACTCACCCACTCATTCACTCACACACTCACTCACCCACTCACTCACCCACTCACTCACTCACCCACTCATTCACTCACCCACTCACTCACTCACTCACCCACTCACCCACCCACTCACCCACCCACTCACTCACTCACCCACCCACTCACTCACTCACCCACTCACTCACCCACTCACTCACTCACCCACTCACCCACTCATTCACGCACTCACCCACTCACTCACCCACTCACTCACCCACTCACGCACTCACTCACTCACGCACTCACTCACCCACTCATTCACTCACTCATTCACTCACCCACTCACTCACCCACTCACTCACCCACCTACCCACTCACTCACCCACTCACTCACTCACCCACTCACTCAGCCACTCACTCACTCACCCACCCACTCACTCACTCACCTACTCACTCACTCACCCACTCACTCACCCACTCACTCACTCACTCACCCACTCACTCAGCCACTCACTCACTCACCCACTCACTCAGCCACTCACTCACTCACCCACTCACTCAGCCACTCACTCACCCACTCACTCACTCACTCACCCACTCACTCACTTACCCACTCACTCAGCCACTCACCCACTCACCCACTCACTCACCCACCCACCCACTCACTCACTCACCCACTCACTCACCCACTCACTCACTCACCCACTCACCCACTCATTCACGCACTCACCCACTCACTCACCCACTCACTCACCCACTCACTCACCCACTCACGCACTCACTCACTCACGCACTCACTCACCCACTCATTCACTCACTCATTCACTCACCCACTCACTCACCCACTCACCCACTCACTCACCCACCTACCCACTCACTCACTCACCCACTCACTCACTCACCCACTCACTCAGCCACTCACTCACTCACCCACCCACCCACTCACTCACTCACCCACTCACTCACTCACCTACTCACTCACTCACCCACTCACTCACCCACTCACTCACTCACCCACTCACTCACCCACTCACTCAGCCACTCACTCACTCACCCACTCACTCAGCCACTCACTCACTCACCCACTCACTCAGCCACTCACCCACTCACTCACCCACTCACTCACCCACTCACTCACTTACCCACTCACTCAGCCACTCACCCACTCACTCACCCACTATATCGGGGGTTGGCAACCTGCGGCTCTTTAAGGACTGCTGCTTCGTGACGTCGCTTATTGGTGACCCCAGCGTCTCGTATTCACCACAGTGGCATTGCGCCTCTTGAAATATTGAGGTGTTTTTTTTTACCGACTTCAAAACAAAATCTTATTAAATGAAACCAGGTCGCTCTTGCCAATGGCAACCCCCTATCCTGGCCTCTTGAGTACTCAACCTCGCCTACACAGAATCAACACGAATGAACGCGCACGCGTCTTGCGTTAGCATGACCGTGATGATGATGATCATGATGATCGTGATGATCGTGATGATGATCGTGATGATGGCGATGGCAATGGTGAAGACGTGATACCACGTGATGTTGCACTGACGCGTCCCGCCCGCTCCCAACAGGACTACTGCGCCAGTAAGTTCGGGGCAGTCGGCTTCCACGAGTCTCTGGCGCACGAGATCAAGGCGATGGGCAAGGGCGGCGTGAAGACCACGCTGGTGTGCCCATACCTGGTGGACACGGGCATGTTCAGGGGCTGTCACATCCGGTGAGGGGCCAACGCAGCGGCCACTGTGGGGCCCACTTGGGGCCCACTTGGGACCCACTTGGGGCCCACTTGGGGCCCACCTGGTCACACAAATGCGGGGGGGAGGGGGGGCGAGGAGCGAGTGGGGTGCGGCGCTACGGGCAGGAGGAGGTTTTTGACTCCAGGTGGAGGTGATTGAATAGAGGGAGGAGGTGTCCAGGTAGAGGCGGTTGTGGCCCATGGTGTCCCCGCGTCCCCATGCCCACAGTGTCCCCGTGTGCCTCCCCGTGCCCCCGTGTCTCCCCGTGTCCCCACGGTGTCTCCGTGCGACTCAGCCGTGAGATCGAGTCTCTGCTGCTGCCGCCGCTGCGGCCGGAGCGCTGCGTGAGCGAGGCGGTGCGCGCCATCCTCACGGACCAGCCCCTCGTGTGTATCCCTCGTCTCATGTACCTCGTGGTGTTCCTCAAGAGGTGGGCCACCTCCACCCTCCTCCTCACCCTCCTCCTACTCACCCTCCACCCTCCTCCTCATCCCTCACCCTCCTCCCCATCCTCTACTAACCTCATCCTCCACCCTCCTCCTCCACCCTCCCCATCCTCTACCAACCTCATCCTCCACCCTCCTCCCCATCCTCCATCACCGTCCTCATCCTCCACCCAGCTCATCTTTTCGAGACAACGCATCCTCCCATCCCTAACCCGTACATCCCTCCACGATCCCAACACCCATCCCACCATCCCTCCACCCCTTTGTAACCTCCACTTCATGCCTCCAATGCAACATTTGTAACCTTTAACCCCCCCCCCCCCGCACACAGTTTATTCCGATCGCAATCATGGCGATCACCATGGTAACGCTAGTCGTCCATTAGGACCCATATGCAGCAGAGCGGGTTCTTGCTGATGAACATTTGGCAGTTCACCAGCATTGACTCAAGCAAGCAATGCATGTCAAAACCGCTCCAGAGCTTTGCTTGTCCTTTACCAATACTGCTGACGGTAAAGACTCCCAGACGGCCGTGGGGCCGATGGGTTGTGTAGAGACACGTGGGGCCTATGGGTTGTGTAGAGAAGCGTGGGGCCGATGGGTTGTGTAGAGACACGTGGGGCCTATGGGTTGTGTAGAGAAGCGTGGGGCTTATGGGTTGTGTAGAGAAGCGTGGGGCCGATGGGTTGTGTAGAGAAGCGTGGGGCCTATGGGTTGTGTAGAGAAGCGTGGGGCCTATGGGTTGTGTAGAGAAGCGTGGGGCCGATGGGTTGTGTAGAGACACGTGGGGCCTATGGGTTGTGTAGAGAAGCGTGGGGCCGATGGGTTGTGTAGAGAAGCGTGGGGCCTATGGGTTGTGTAGAGACACGTGGGGCCTATGGGTTGTGTAGAGACACGTGGGGCCTATGGGTTGTGTAGAGACACGTGGGGCCTATGGGTTGTGTAGAGACACGTGGGGGCGATGGGTTGTGTAGAGACACGTGGGGGCGATGGGTTGTGTAGAGACACGTGGGGGCGATGGGTTGTGTAGAGACACGTGGGGCCGATGGGTTGTGTAGAGAACGCTGTTGTAGCTTCGTGTGGAGAGACGGAGATGAGCAGCAGCAGGCGCGTTGTCCACTTATCTATCACAGTCAGGATGATGTCAGCAGGAATGAGGTGATCATGATGATGATGACCATGATGATGATGATGACCACGATGCTGACCATGATGATGACCATGATGATGATGACCATGATCATGATGCTGACCATGATGATGACCACGATGATGACCCAGATGATGACATGATAATCATAGCCATGATGCTGACCATGATGATGATGACCATGATGATGCTGACCATGATGATGACCACGATGATGATGACCATGATGATGATGATGACCATGATGATGACCACGATGATGATGACCATGATGATGATGATGACCATGATGATGACCACGATGACGATGATCATGATGATGATGACCATGATGATGACCACGATGATGATGACCATGATGATGATAGCCGTGATGACGGTGACCACGATGATGCCGATAGCACGAACCGTGGACCACGAAGAATATAATCACGCTGCCCCCCTCCCTCCCTCCCGCCACGCACCATCGCGCCAGCTTCCTGCCCTCGGAAGCCCTCTCGTCGCTCTACCACTTCCTGGGCGCCGACCGCTGCATGTACCCCTTCCTCGAGGCGCAGAAACAGCTGCAGAGCAGCCAGAGAAGCGATAACGACAGCGCCGGTGGTGGCGGAGCAAATCTCGCGCCAGCGAGCGAGCAGAAGTGACCCCCCCCCACCGCGTCTGTGAAGAGATCGTGCGCGCTGTACAACGCCGTCGCCGTTAGAGAGTGACGGCGAATCGGAGAGCGAGGACAGCTCTAGCTCCAACACTAACACACCTGCCAGGCTGGGCCAGACCCTCCTGCCTCCCTCCCCAGTGCCAGGTTCAGTCGCTGCGTCTTACTGACGCCAAGCGAGCTCCAGCGCGTCGCGCCAATGACGCCGCACGTGTGTGTGTCTGTGCGTCTGTGTGCGTGTCTGTGTGTCCGTGTGTCTGTGTGTGTGTCTGTGTGTATGTCTGTGTGTCCGTGTGTCTGTGTGTGTCTGTGTGCGTGTCTGTGTGTGTGTCCGTGTGTGTGTCTGTGCGTCTGTGTGTTTAACTCGTGGTTTAGTGGTAATTAATTGTACCATCGGACACTCCACCCCCACAACTCCCAATCGGTGATGGGGCAGTTGTGGAGAGAGTGGAGAGTTTCCCATACCTGGGCAGTGTGCTTATGACCGGCTCCAGTTTAGCAGCAGAGGTCTCACTCCGAATCAGTCGAGCGGCAATATATTTTCATCGGTTGCGTAACGCTGTGTGGAAGCTACCTGGTCTGTCGCTCCGCACTAAACTTCAGGTCTTCTCGGCCACGGTCATTCCCTCCCTTCTCTACGCTTGCGAAACGTGGACCCCCCTAATGGAACATCTTCGCCGGTTAGAAACATTTAGGCTGGCCTGCCTACGATCCATCCTGGGTTTAACCAGGACTGGATTGTGTGAGGAGCTCACAAATCCTTAAAAGATCTGGGCAAGGTCCCATCGGTGAGCTCCTCCGGCGGAGAAGGCTGCGATGGCTGGGTCATGTAGCCCGCATGCCCAGCCACCGCATGCCGAAACAGCTTTTGTTCGGCTGGATTGAGGGGGCTAAGCGGGCGCGGCACAGGCTAGAGAAGAGATGGAGTGGTGTGGTACAGGAGGACGTGGAGCTGAGTGGACTTGCCGATGACTGGTACCAGCGGTGTCAAGATCGGCCACTGTGGAGGAGGCTCGTGACGGACGCTACTGGGCAGTTGGAGGTAGTCACCCTCCAACAACAACGGAGGGCGGAGGAGCGACGCTCACAACAACGAGCGGAGCGCCGGGTGGCTAAAGCACAGCAGGTTTGCACAGTAGGGGCCACAGGTGGTGCATCAGCCAGTCATCTCAGTCAGTCGACCCGTGGCACCTGGGTCTGCCCCGTGACCTCCTGCCAGCGGGCGTTCGACACTTCACGTGGCCTCAGGGTGCACATAGCCTGGCACAAGCGTCGTGGTGACGTCACCGCCACTTAGTGGCGAATGGCGGTTGTGTATGTGTCTGTGTGTTTGTGTCTGTGTATGTGTGTGTCTGTATATGTGTGTCTGTATGTCTGTGTGTGTGTCTGTATGTCTGTGACAAATGAGTAGCTGGTGCGGTGTGTAGTTAACATCGCCACTCGAGAGACAAAGGCGGCCGGGCGTGGTGCTGGCCACCCACCCCCTCGTGTGCCGTGTCGGCCTTCGCAGGTGCTACTCGCGAACAGCACTTGCCCCAACATAATGTTGAGGCTATATGGGGGAATCTTTGTCTTTGTAGCCTTGTACGGTGAATGATGTGAAAGGTGACGTTTCGAGCGATGGCCCTTGTTCAGGACGCGTACGTAGAGCGGCCGGGAGAGAGACGGAGAGGAGTTGGAGACTGTGCTTCGCACGCACCTTGATGGGGGGGGGGGGGGGCTGACGAGAGAGTTAAAGATTAAACACGCCTTGTCTAACGACTACGTGTTACACTGCCTTCTGAGGAGTTTCACTGATAGAAGCCTTTGAGAACCAGATACACCCCTTCAGTATTACTACGAATAAACTCATGTATGTTCAGACTACCTAGTGGATGCTCAAAACATTTTGGCCCCTCCCCCTCTCCACCCCCTGCCCCTCCTCCACCCCATACCCCTCCCCCCTCCTCCTCCAACCACCCCTCCACCCCTCCCCTTCCCCCACCGCAGCCCCCCCTCCACCCCCACTCCCCCCCGTGATCGCCACACCTGATCCACGTGTACCCGAGTGTGGCCCAGCGCTGTTTGGGGACAGCAGCAGCAGCAGTAGCGAGGGTTTTAGTGAATCACTTAAAGATTGTTTCGAAACTCCCTTCCCTTGGATGGAGGTGTCGTGGAGGAGCCGTACCCTGGTTCGCCAGGAGAAGGCAGTACAGCAAGTGTACTAATCTCCATCCGTGTTCATCTATGGGGGTTGGGATAGAGTGTAGGTTGTCTCCGCGTGCTCCGGTTTCCTCCTCCCCACGTGATTAATAATCACGACTCGTCGGTAATCGGCTGACAACATCTTACAAACAAACGCCTCAATGGAGCAGCGGCAGGACCCTCCTGGCAGTGAGTCCTGTGACTCAGTAGCGTGGCTCTCTGAATAAAAAAATATATGCTGTATTACGTGAATGGGTTTTGTGTACATCCATCATATTCACCATGGAGGTGGAAAAGGATGGCAAAGCTACCATTCTTGGATGCCACCATCCTTCCCAGAAGAATTCCCTCATCAAAACTCTACACCATAGAGCTCCATGTATTTCCGACCATCATCACCTAGGCAGTAAACTGGAACACGTATACCAGGTTCTTAAGATGAATGGAAATTCAGACTACACAATCCGTAAAGCTATCACCCCAACCAAAGAACCATCTGAGGAATCAACCAAAACCATCACCTTGCCATATATAGCAGGGGTCACCAAAAAGATCTCCAAAATCATGTGCAAACACAAGATCCAGGTTCAAATTAACACAGCACATAAAATTCGTGATCTGATCCCATCTGTGAAGGATGTGATCCCTGGCATGCAATACCCCGGCGTCTACAATCTAAGCTTTGTCTGCGGCAGCAGTTACATTGAGGAAACCAAGCGACATGTCTCGGACCGTGTTCGTGAACATGAGGCAGATCTGAAACACGGTCGGACTAATACCTCTGCCGTGGCTGATCATTATTTTAATGCGGTGGGCTCACAAGAAAATTATTTCTCTAAGACGAAGGCACTTTGCAAACCCACTGGCTATCAACAAAGATTCGTTCATGAAGCCATCCATATATATACACAGACACAATTTCAATCGAGAAGATGGGTACAAACTGAGCAATCATTGGAAAGACGTTATAACTGGCTGTGATGTTCCCATCTTACCACCTTCCGATGTTAGTTGTTATTTTCGGCTCTCTGATTTTACAATAACAGGTTACATTTTTCACCCTAACACAGCCACCTCGCTCACCAAGCTCGAGGTTTTTTATGCTTTAAGATCTTCCATTAACATGCTAATCTCCCACATTAACATGCTAATATCTCACATTAACATACTAATCTCTCACATTAACATGCTAATCTCTCACTAATATGCTCATCTCTCACATTAACATGCTAATCTCTCACATTAACATGCTCATCTCTCACATTGACATGCTGATCTCTCTCAGGATCATGCTCATCTCACAGTAACATGCTAATCTCTCACAGTAACATGCTAATCTCTCACAGTAACATGCTAATCTCTCGCATTTACATGCCAATCTCTCACAGTAACATGCTAATCTCTCACATTTGCCTTCTAATCTCTCACATTTGCATGCTAATCATTCACATCAACATGCTAATATCTCTCGTTATCATGCAAATCTCTCACATAAACATGCTAAGCTCTCACATTTACATGCTGATCTCTCACATTGACATGCTAATCTCTCACATTTACATGCTGATCTCTCACATTAACATGCTAATCTCTCACATTGACATGCTAATCTTTCACATTAACATGCTAATCTCTCACATTAACACGCTAATCTCACATTAACATGCAATTTTTTTACCTGGCAGCCCTCTGATTGGTGGGAAACCCACCACCGTCGCGGTCGCTGCCCACCACTGACACTCTCATTGGCTGCTGACATTTGGTCTACGCCCATTTCAAACCTTTAACAACAGTTTACCTTTAGAAGCTAATCCCCTCTTCCTGATGACGCACGCTTGTGTTGCGATCAAAACGTCGTGGTTTTTTTGTTATTTTCTTTGAAACCTATCTATGTGACTTCACCAAAAGACACAGAGAATGATTTGAAGCTTTCGTGACTGCAGGAATCCATACTCTTTGGTTCTTTCGGTAAAGTCACGTGGCTAGGTAGATAAACAAAATTCGTAGCGCAGCGCCCTAACCGCTGCACCACCGCTCCCCACGCAGAGACGCGCGCGCGCACCCTCGTTTCCTCACACTCTGAACAACAGGCAGGACACACAAACGGCAAGCGGCTAAGGCGCCCCAGTCGGGAATCGAACCCACGACGGTGGTTGTTGGTGCGAGGCACTGGTGCCCCCGTGGCGGGCCGCCCGCGTTGCGCCCTGGGCCCAGACGACGGAAACGTCGCGAGATTTTTTGTTTTTCTTTCACGTTTTAACTTTTCTTCTTTCACATTTTCTGGTCCGCACGCGGCGAGCGCCCGCGAGAAAACAACAACAACAACAAACAGCAGCAACAGCAGCAATGACCACGACATCCACGCCGACGTGCGGCGATCATGTGCCCAGCATTCCTTCCCGCGTGCGTTTGCCACGCGCTACCGCGGGTGGGACGAGGGTGGGGGGGGGGCACCTTGGACGAGTTTATTTGGCCCCAAGTTGAAATGTTCCTTCAAGATGCTCGTCTCCAAGTCAGACAGCCGCGTCTCGCCCAGAGGAACAATCGCGTCGGCTCACGAGGTTGCCGCCCGCAGTCGATGTGCGGCCTGACCCCTGTGTCTCTGGAGAGTCAACGTGACCACCGCTGGCTCGGACTCCAAACGAATCCCACAAACCCCGCGACGCTCGTCCTGGCCTCCTGGGTCCTCGGCTTTGCCCCCCCCGGCCCCCTAACAGCCCCCCCCCCCACTATTCCCACGCGACCTCCCCCACAGTGCATAGCCAGGGTCACGTGACACTTTCAAGAGCAGCAGCAGCATCACCTCCACCAGGGCAGACGAGAGACTCATAGACAGAGAGACCCAGAGACACATAAAGAGAGACCCATAGACTCACACAAAGACCCAGAGACACACACAGAGAGACCCATAGACTCACTCAAAGACCCAGAGACACACACAGAGAGACCCATAGACTCTCACAAAGACCCATAGACACAGAGAGACCCATAGACACAAACAGACACCCATAGACACACACAGAGAGACCCATAGACACACACAGAGACCCATAGACACACACAGAGAGACCCATAGACACCCACAGAGACCCAGAAACACACAGAGACCCATACACACACAGAGAGACCCATAGACACACACAGAGACCCATACACACACAGAATGACCCATAGACACACACAGAGAGATCCACAGACTCAGACAGAGACCCAGAGACACAGAGAGATCCATAGACACACACAGAGACCCAGAGACACATACAGAGAGACCCATAGACTCACACAAAGACCCAGAGACACACACAGAGAGACCCATAGACACACACAAAGACCCAGAGACACACACAGAGAGACCCATAGACACACACAGAGACCCAGAGACACAGAGAGACCCATAGACACACACAGAGACCCAGAGACACAGAGAGACCCATAGACACACACAGAGACCCAGAGACACAGAGAGACCCATAGACACACACAGAGACCCAGAGACACAGAGAGACCCATACACACACAGAGAGACCCATAGACACACACAGAGACCCATACACACACAGAATGGCCCATATACACACACAGAGAGATCCACAGACTCAGACAGAGACCCCGAGACACAGAGAGATCCATAGACACACACAGAGACCCAGAGACACACACAGAGACCCATAGACACACACAGAGACACAGAGACTCACACAGAGAGACCCATAGACACACACAAAGACCGAGAGACACACACAGAGACCCATAGACAAACACAAAGACCCAGAGACACAGAGAGACCCATAGACACACACACAGACCCAGAGATAGAGAGACCCATAGACACACACAGAGACCCAGAGACACAGAGAGACCCATAGACACACACAGAGACCCAGAGACACAGAGAGACCCATAGACACACACAAAGACCCATAGACACACACAGAGACCCAGAGACAGACACAGAGACCCATAGACACACACAGAGACCCAGAGACACAGAGAGACACACAGAGACACAGAGAAACCCATAGACACACACAGAGACCCAGAGACACACACAGAGACCCATAGACACACACAGAGACTCAGAGACAGACACAGAGACCCATAGACACACAGAGAGACCCAAAGACAGAGAGACCCATAGACACACACAGAGACCCAGAGACACACACAGAGACCCATAGACACACACAGAGACCCAGAGACACAGAGAGACACACACAGAGACACAGAGAGACCCATAGACACACACAGAGACCCAGAGACAGAGAGACCCATAGACACACACAGAGACCCATAGACACACACAGAGACCCAGAGACACACACAGAGACCCAGAGACAGACACAGAGACCCATAGACACACACAGAGACCCAGAGACACAGAGAGACCCATAGACACACACAGAGACCCAGAGACACAGAGAGACACACACAGAGACACAGAGAAACCCATAGACACACACAGAGACCCATAGACACACACAGAGACCCATAGACACACACAGAGACCCAGGCTCACATAGAGACCCATAGACACAGACAGAGAAACCCATAGACACACACAGAGACCCAGGCTCACATAGAGACCCATAGACACAGACAGAGAGTCCCATAGACACACACAGAGACCCAGGCTCACATAGAGACACAGAGACCCAGAGACACAGAGAGACCCATAGACACACACAGAGACCCAGAGACACACACAGAGACCCAGAGACACAGAGAGACCCATAGACATAGAGACCCATAGACACACAGAGACCCATGGACAGACAGAGAGACCCATAGACACACACAGAGACCCATAGACACACACAGAGACCCATAGACACAGAGATCCCATAGACTCAGACAGAGACCCAGGCTCACATAGAGAGACCCATAGACCCACACACACACGTACCCAGAGACTCACACACACAGACACACACACAGACACACACACACGTACCCACAGACACACACACACAGACACACGTACCCACAGACACACAACAACAACAACCGCCATTCGCCACTAAGTGGCGGTGACGTCACCACGACGCTTTTGCCAGGCTATGTGCACCCTGAGGCCACGTGAAGTGTCGAACGCCCGCTGGCAGGAGGTCACGGGGCAGACCCAGGTGCCACGGGTCGACTGACTGAGATGACTGGCTGATGCACCACCTGTGCCCCCTACTGTGCCAACCTGCTGTGCTTTAGCCACCCGGCGCTCCGCTCGTTGTTCTGAGCGTCGCTCCTCCGCCCTCCGTTGTTGTTGGAGGGCGACTACCTCCAACTGCCCAGTAGCATCCTTCACGAGCCTCCTCCACAGAGGCCGATCTTGACACCGCTGGTACCAGTCATCGGCAAGTCCACTCAGCTCCACGTCCTCCTGTACCACATCACTCCATCTCTTCTCTAGCCCGTGCTGCGCCCGCTTAGCCCCCTCAATCCGGCCGAACAAAAGCTGTTTCGGCATGCGGGCTACATGACCCAGCCAACGCAGCCTTGCCTGCCGGAGGAGCTCACCGATGGGACCTTGCCCAGATCTTTCAAGGATTTGTCAGCTCCTCACACAATCCAATCTGGTTAAACCCAGGATGGATCGTAGGCAGGCCAGCCTAAATGTTTCTAACCGGCGAAGATGTTCCATTAGGGGGGTCCACGTTTCGCAAGCGTAGAGAAGGGAGGGAATGACCGTGGCCGAGAAGACCTGAAGCTTAGTGCGGAGCGACAGACCAGGTAGCTTCCACACAGCGTTACGCAACCGATAAAAGATATTGCCGCTCGACTGATTCGGAGTGAGACCTCTGCCGTTAAACTGGAGCCAGTCATAAGCACACTGCCCAGGTATGGGAAACTCTCCACTCTCTCCACAACTGCCCCATCACCGATTGGGAGTTGTGGGGGTGGAGTGTCCGATGCTACAAAATACCCAGGCAGGTGCTTAGTTTTGGTGGGGCTGATGGTAAGGCCCCACCTCTTAGTAGCACGCTCCAGTCTCAGCAGCAGCGTCTCCAACTCCTCCTCTGACTGAGCAGCTATTACCAAATCATCGGCATATATAACGTGGTTGAGCAATAGGGAGTCATCCCTTGACCGCACCCGAGCATCGATCAGCCTCCCATTATATCTGTACCATATGGAGATTCCCCCAGTACAGCTATTGAAGGCTTCACGAACTACGTGGTCAAAATAGATGTTAAATAATGTGGGAGCCAGAGGACATCCCTGTCGCACCCCAAGGTGTACAGCGAATGGCTCTGACTCCCGGCCACGTAGTTTTACCCGGGCCCGCTCACCATCATGAAGGTCCTTAATGATCGTGAGCAGGGGGTCAGGGACTCCAAAAGCACGAAGAATAACTCAGAGCCCAGGCCTACTGATGGTATCATAGGCCTTGACCAGGTCAATAAAGCAGAGATGTAGGTCTTGTTGGAATTCCCTACACCTCTGCTGTAGCAGACGGACAGAAAATATGGCATCTGTGCAGGACCGCCCTATCCTGAAACCGCATTGGGGTTCCGCAAGCCTCTCCTCAGCGTGCCTGGCAAGGCGATGCTGAATAATCCTTGCCAGGACACACACACACAGACACACACACACAGACACACACACAGACACACACAGACACAAACACACACACACAGACACACACACAGACTTGAGTGAAGAGCTCCCTCTGGTGGAGGTCTCTCCACCAGCAGCAGCAGAGCGACAAATCACAGTGCTGCGCCTTCACCTTAGCCGGGCCTCGGGCAGGGCGCTGCCACGGGAACGTGGAGTTGCGCCAGTGTGCCATGGCCACGGCTTCCTCTCACCGGCGGCGTCGTTGTTGGGGTGGCGACGAAGGCCGGCCCGGGCCCTGCAGGCCGGCCCGGGCCCTGCAGGCCGGCCCGGGCCCTGCAGGCCGGCCCGGGCCCTGCAGGCCGGCCCGGGCCCTGCAGAGCCAGCGACGCCGGCCTCCTGCTGCTGCTGCCTCCCCTGGACGACGCCGCTCCCCGCGGCCTCCCCGCGGCCGTCGCCCCGAGGCAGCTCCACCGCGAACGACTCGGCGCGCACACAAAGACAAAGGGCCCCCACCCACCGTGTAGCCTCGCCAGAGTGTGGGGGCAAGTTGCTGTGAGCGAGCAGCGCCTTCGTGGGCCGGCGCTGTGCGTGGCACACCGGGGGCGGGTGGGTGGCCAGCACCACGCACGGACCTCCAATTGACGGCATGGAACGACACGGGGCCTCAAATAGTTCGCCGAGCAATTTGATAGGAAACGACAAAGACGCCCCGTGGTGTAAGCCTTGACAGGCTGTAGGGGCCTACGAAGGCCGGCACGGCACACGAGGGGGTGGGTGGCCGGCACCACGCCCGGCCGCCTTTGTCTCCCCCCCAGTGGCGACGTTCCCCCGTCTCGCCGGGCTGGCCCTGAGCGGGGAACCCAACTCGGAGTCGTCGCTGGGTTAGTGACGCCGTGACGAGTTGGCAACAATGACAGCGGTGGCGATTGTGTGCGGAGGAGTGGACGCGCCTGTGTGTGTGCCACTGTGTGTTTGTGTCACTGTGTGTGTGTCACTGTGTCTCACTGTGTGTGTTTGTGTCACTGTGTGTGTGTCACTGTGTGTGTGTGTCACTGTGTGTTTGTGTCACTGTGTGTGTGTGCGTGCCACTGTGTGTTTGTGTCACTGTGTGTGTGTCACTGTGTGTCACTGTGTGTGTGTCACTGTCTCACTGTGTGTGTTTGTGTCACTGTGTGTGTGTGCCACTGTGTGTGCCATTGTGTGTGTGTCACTGTGTCGTGTGTTTGTGTCACTGTGTGTGTACCACTGTGTGTGCCATTGTGTGTGTGTGCCACTGTGTGTTTGTGTGCCACTGTGTGTTTGTGTCACTGTGTGTGTGTCACTGTGTGTCACTGTGTGTGTGTCACTGTGTCTCACTGTGTGTGTTTGTGTCACTGTGTGTGTGTGCCACTGTGTGTGCCATTGTGTTTGTGTCACTGTGTGTGTGCCACTGTGTTTGTCTCACTGTGTGTGTGCCACTGTTTGTGTCACTGTGTGTGTGTGCCACTGTGTGTGTCACTGTGTGTGTGTGCCACTGTGTGTGCCACTGTGTTTGTGTCACTGTATGTGTGTGCCACTGTGTGTGTGCCACTGTGTCACTGTGTGTGTTTGTGCCACTGCGTGTGTGTCACTGTGTGTGTCACTGTGTGTGTGTGCCACTGTGTGTCACTGTGTGTGTGCCACTGTGTGTGTGCCACTGTGTGTTTGTGTCACTGTGTGTGTCACTGTGTGTGTTTGTGCCACTGCGTGTGTGTCACTGTGTGTGTCACTGTGTGTGTGTGCCACTGTGTGTCACTGTGTGTGTGTCACTGTGTGTGTGCCACTGTGTGTGTGCCACTGTGTGTTTGTGTCACTGTGTGTGTCACTGTGTGTGTTTGTGTCACTGTGTGTGTGTGCCACTGTGTGTGCCATTGTGTGTTTGTGTCACTGTGTGTGTGCCACTGTGTTTGTCTCACTGTGTGCCACTTTGTGTCACTGTGTGTGTGCCACTGTGTGTGTGCCACTGTGTGTGTCACTGTGTGTGTGCCACTGTGTTTGTGTCACTGTATGTGTGTGCCACTGTGTGTTTGCCACTGTGTCACTGTGTGTGTTTGTGCCACTGCGTGTGTGTCACTGTGTGTCACTGTGTGTGTGTGCCACTGTGTGTGTCACTGTGTGTGTGCCACTGTGTTTGTGTCACTGTATGTGTGTGCCACTGTGTGTGTGCCACTGTGTCACTGTGTGTGTTTGTGCCACTGCGTGTGTGTCACTGTGTGTCACTGTGTGTGTGTGCCACTGTGTGTGTCACTGTGTGTGTGCCACTGTTTGTGTCACTGTATGTGTGTGCCACTGTGTGTGTGTGTGCCACTGTGTCACTGTGTGTGTTTGTGCCACTGCGTGTGTGTCACTGTGTGTGTGCCACTGTATGTATGCCGATGACCTGGTAATTGCTGCTCACTCAGAGGAGGAGTAGAAGGCGCTGCTGCTGAGACTGGAGCGTGCCACTAAGAGATGGGGCCTTACCATCAGCCCCACCAAAACTTAGCACCTGCCTGGGTATTTTGTACCATCGGACACTCCACCCCCACAACTCCCAATCGGTGATGGGGCAGTTGTGGAGAGAGTGGAGAGTTTCCCATACTTGGGCAGTGTGCTTATGACCGGCTCCAGTTTAACAGCAGAGGTCTCACTCCGAATCAGTCGAGCGGCAATATCTTTTCATCGGTTGCGTAACGCTGTGTGGAAGCTACCTGGTCTGTCGCTCCGCACTAAGCTTCAGGTCTTCTCGGCCACGGTCATTCCCTCCCTTCTCTACGCTTGCGAAACGTGGACCCCCCGAATGGAACATCTTTGCCGGTTAGAAACATTTAGGCTGGCCTGCCTACGATCCATCCTGGGTTTAACCAGGCTGGATTGTGTGAGGAGCTCACAAATCCTCGAAAGATCTGGACAAAGTCCCATCGGTGAGCTACTCCGGCAGGCAAGGCTGCGTTGGCTGGGTCATGTAGCACGCATGCCCAGCCAACGCATGCCGAAACAGCTTTTGTTCGGCCGGATTGAGGGGGCTAAACGGGCACGGCACGGGCTAGAGAAGAGATGGAGTGATGTGGTACAGGAGGACGTGGAGCTGAGTGGACTTGCCGATGACTGGTATCAGCGGTGTCAAGATCGGCCTCTGTGGAGGAGGCTCGTGAAGGATGCTACTGGGCAGTTGGAGGCAGTCGCCCCCCAACAACAACGGAGGGTGGAGGAGCGACGCTCACAACAACGAGCGGAGCGCCGGGTGGCTAAAGCACAGCAGGTTGGCACAGTAGGGGGCACAGGTCGTACATCAGCCACTCATCTCAGTCGACCCGTGGCACCTGGGTCTGCCCTGTGACCTGCCAGCAGGCGTTCGACACTTCACGTGGCCTCAAGGTGCACATCGCCTGGCACAAGCGTCGTGGTGACGTCACCGCCACTTAGTGGCGAATGGCGGTTGTTGTTGTGTGTGTGCCACTGTGTGTGTCATTGTGTGTGTGAGTGTGCCACTGTGTGTGTGTGGGGAGCGGTAATGTAGCCATTAGCGTGCTGCACTACGAACCCCCGCTCACGGCCAACACCGGTGACTACTGTCTGAGCCGGTCCTGGGCCTCCCGTCGGCCGACTCAGCCTCAAATGAGTACCTGGTGCGGTGTGTAGTAAACATCGCCACTGGGGAGACAAAGGCGGTCTGACGTGGTGCTGGCCACCCACCCCCTCGTGTAGGAACGTGTACCGTTCCTACAGTCTCTTAAGGCTATACGGGGGATCTTTGTTGTGTGTATGTGAGTGCGTACGCGTGAAGGACGCCACTTGGCAGATGGAGGCAGTCACCCTCCGGCAACAACGGAGGGCAGAGGAGCGACGCTCACAACAACGAGCGGAGCGCCGGGCGGCTAAAACGCGATTTGGCCAAGTAGGGGGCACAGGTGGCGCATCGGCCACTCGTCTCAGTCAGTCGTCCCATGGCACTTGCTGGGTCTGCCCCGTCACCTCCTGCCAGCGGGGCGTTTCGACGCTTCACGTGGCCTTAACGTGCACTCAGCCTGGCACAAGCGCCGTGGAAGATGGCTGTAGTTGTTGTGTGTGTGTGTACACGTGCCCATCCTTGGCACGTGCGGGCCCGCGCTCGGACACGAGGCGGTACTGCGCCTGCGTCTCGCTGTCGCGGGAGAGGTCATTGACGAGCGTCGCTGTTGGAGCCACGCCTCGGAGTGCAAGCAAACAGCACGGGTCACACAGCAGCAGCAGCAGCACGGGTCACACAGCAGCAGCAGCAGCAGCACGGGTTACACAGCAGTAGCACGGGTCACACAGCAACAACAGCAGTACGGGTCAGACATCAGCAGCAGCACGGGTCACACAGCAGCAGTAGCACGGGTCACACAGCAGCAGCACGGGTCACACAACAGCAGCACGGGTCACACAGCAGCAGCACGGGTCACACAGCAGCAGCAGCACGGGTCACACAACAGCAGCACGGGTCACACAGCAGTAGCACGGGTCAGACAGCAGCAGCAGCACGGGTCAGACAGCAGCAGCACGGGTCACACAACAGCAGCACGGGTCACACAACAGCAGCAGTAGCACGGGTCACGCAGCAGCATGGGTCACACAGTAGCACGGGTCACACAGCAGCACGGGTCAGACAGCAGCAGCACGGGTCACGCAGCAGCACGGGTCACACAGCAGCACGGGTCACGCAGCAGCAGCACGGGTCACACAGCAGCACGGGTCACAGCAGCACGGGTCACGCAGCAGCAGTAGTCACACAACAGCAGCAGCACGGGTCACACAGCAGCACGGGTCACACAGCAGCACGTGAGGTGACGCAGCGCCGGGTCACGTGAGCGTCTCAGACACGTCTTGGTTTTTTAGGGTTCTGTGCTGTCAGTCTTTGTCAGTCATGTCGGTCACACATTAGTCAGACATGTCAAGTCAGTCGTATCTGTCACATATTAATCATATCAGTCACACGTGTCAGTCAGACATGTCAGTCATTCGTTTCGGTCATTCATGTCAACCACGTGTTATAGCCACACGTGGCGGTCAAGGAGGCATATTCTCTCCTTATTAATTATCTTATTGCGTCCTCCACCACGACGCGAGTGCTTATTCTGTGCTCTGTATCACCGTGCTGGGTTTCGTGTCGAATCAGGACCCACAAAAATAAGCTAAATAACTTTTGGCTTTACCTGCTACGATTAAACACATTGTTTAGTTTTATTTGTATCTATTTATTAAAGTAATTTGTTTACCTTTCTTACACTTTGCACTCCTATCGCGTTGTTTGCATTGTTGTGGTAACGTTCTGACTCCGCGCCCATACTGAGCATCTGTGAAGAAGAGCTTTGTAGCTCATCGGATTCCTCCAGCGTGAATACAATATCACGAAATCTGGCAAAGAGAGACGGCGAGGTGGTGGTGGGGGGTCCTGCCCTGCCCAGGGACTGCTGCGTTGCTATCTTACTGTGGCCTGGGACTCTTTTTGTTGTGTTGCTGCCTCCCCCAAGTTTACATTTAGTGTAGCGGTGTAGAAATCGACTCTACGTACTGACGCAATGTATACTGATTATACTCATTTATTTTTAGTGAATTGCTTACCTTTTCTCGATGTTGCACTTCCTCTCGTGTGTTTGTATTGTATGTTGTTGTTGTTGGTGTAACTTGCTGACCCGCCCCTACTGGACATCTGTGGAAAACACCTCCAGAGCTCAGGGGATTCCTTCTCTGGTCTAAATAAAGATTCTGATTCTGAATATCGGCCTGTTCACCATTGATTTAAATAATAGCCCGACTGCTGGTCAGACTCTGAATGTGGAAACCGGTCCAGAGTTCTCTCGGCTTGTGTTGAGCCAACTGCTGACACGATGCGACTCCCAGAATGTCGGCTGATGGGATGTGTAAATAAAATAAATATTCTTACTTTGTATGCGGAGGGACAGCTGTGGGAATGGAAGAGATCTGCTTATCTGCGTTTGAATGATCTGTCCCCAACCGTTGCAGAACATTGCTGTTTGTGATTGTAATCAGCAGGGTGGGGGGCTCGCCCCCCCCCCTCCAGTCCCGGCTGACCTTCGGGGGGGTCTGCACCGTGCGGGGTTAACGAGGTCACCACCCACCCTGCCTGGGTGGACGCTGGCTCACCCACGCGTCTCGCCCACTCACCCCTCTCACGCTCTTAAGATGGGGGGTTGTACCCCCCCCCCTACCCTTGTAGCCTACACACGCGAGTGTTGTTCGTGGAGCATCTCTTCATGTCAGAAGGGTGCAAGAGGGGGTGCGTGGTGTGGTCAGAACCACGCACGGCCGCTTTTGTCTTCCCAGTGCTCATGTTTTTTTTTTACACCGCACCAGGTGCTAATTTTAAGGCTGAGTCAACCTAGGGACGTGGGTCCAATTAAGACCGGTTCGTTCAGATATTTGTTTTATAATTTTGGCCGTGAGTCGAGAATCGAACTCGGCTCACCGGGGTTCGTAGCGCAGTGCGCTAACCACTGCGCCACCACTCCTAACACACGCACCCTCGGTACTTCCTCCCTACCCCCGCCGCCTCCTTCCCCCCACCTTCTCGTGACGTCACCACCCACAGCTGGTGGCGGGGGGAGGGGGGGTCCCTGGCCCCCCACGGTCAGCCCCCTCCCCCTCATTGTAAAAGCTCCATCCCTCAGAGGCGGTCAGTCTCCTGGAGACAGAGAGAGGAGACACCAAGAGAGGAGACAGAGACAGAGAGACACCGAGAGAGGAGACAGAGAGACACAGAGAGAGGAGACAGAGAGACACAGAGAGAGGAGACAGAGAGAGAGGAGACAGAGAGAGGAGACACCGAGAGAGGACACACCGAGACAGTGGAGACACAGAGAGACACAGAGAGACACAGAGAGAGGAGACACAGAGACACAGAGACAGAGAGAGGAGACACAGAGGAGACACCGAGAGAGGAGACACCGAGACAGAGAGAGAGGAGACACAGAGACACAGAGAGAGGAGACACAGAGAGAGAGGAGACACCGAGAGAGGAGACACCGAGACAGAGAGAGAGGAGACAGAGAGAGAGAGGAGACACCGGGACGAGACACGAGACAGAGAGACACGCGCGTTCCACTCTCTCCCCCGTATCTCCTCTCTTCATCGCTCCAGCCAGGGGTTGGTGGAACACGGCGGGACGGGCATTGCGGGGGAAGCAACGATGCGAGCGGCTGGGGAGGCGCTGGGTCCGGCAGGGAACCCTTTGATCCCCGATGAGGAGGCCCCCGAGACCCCCGATGAGGAGAGCCCCGTGCTGCCTCTGTCCCAGCTGAGCAGCGTGGGCTGCTGCTACAGCAGGCTGCGGCAGCTGCTCCCCGGCATCTCGCGGGAGCAGCTGCTGAGCGAGGCGGAGCTCCTGCGGCGCGTGATCGACCACATCGCGGCGCTGCAGCTGGCGCTGCACGGCGAGCCAGAGCAGCCGCAGCAGCAGCAGCACCAGCAGCATCAACATCATCAACATCAGCAGCAGCAGCATCAACATCAGCAGCAGCACCAGCAGCACCAGCAGCATCAACATCATCAACATCAGCAGCAGCACCAGGATCAGCATCAACAGCAGCACCAGCAGTAACAGGATCAGCAACAGGAGCACCTGCAACAGCAGCACCTGCACAGCATCAGCACCAGCACATCCAGAAGCAGCAGCAGTCACTGCAGCAGCAGCAGCACCGGTAGCAGCGTCAGCACCATCAGCAGAAGCCTCACCAGAACCAGCCACAGCAACTGTAGTAGCAACAGCACCAGCCCCTGCAACAGCAGTAGCTTCAGCACCGTCAGCAGAACCATCAGCAGCAGCAAGAACAGCATCAGGACCCGTATCTACAGCAACAACGGCAGCAGCAGCTGATGCAACTCCAGCAACAGAAGCAGCTGCGGTTACAGAACAAACGCACAGACAGGTGTGTGCGTGTCCGTGTGTGTGCGCGTGTGTGTGCGCGCGCATGCGCGCGCGCGTGTGCGCGTGTGTGTGTATGTATGTTAGGGAGCGCTGGTGTAGTGGTTAGCGCGCTGCGCTACGAACCTGGCGACCCGGGTTCGATTCCCGCTCAGGGCCAACACCACCAGTGACGATTATCTGAACCGGTCCAGGGCCTCCCCTAGATCGACTCAGCCTCAAATGAGTACCTGGTGCGGTGTGTAAACATCGTCACTAGGGAGACAAAGGCGGCCGGGCGTGGTGTTGGCCACCCACCCCTTCGTGTGCCGTGCCGGCCGTGAAGGTGTGTGTGAGTGTGTGAAGGTGTGTGTGTGTGTGAAGGTGTGTGTGTGTGTGAAGGTGTGTGTGAGTGTGAAGGTGTGTGTGAGTGTGAAGGTGTGTGTGAGTGTGTGTGTGTGAGTGTGTGTGTGAAGGTGTGTGTGTGTGAAGGTGTGTGTGAGTGTGTGTGTGAAGGTGTGTGTGTGTGAAGGTGTGTGTGTGTGAGTGTGTGTGTGAGTGTGTGTGTGAGTGTGTGTGTGAGTGTGTGTGTGAGTGTGTGTGTGAGTGTGTGTGTGAGTGTGTGTGTGAGTGTGTGTGTGAGTGTGTGTGTGAGTGTGTGTGTGAGTGTGTGTGTGAGTGTGTGTGTGAGTGTGTGTGTGAGTGTGTGTGTGAGTGTGTGTGTGAGTGTGTGTGTGAGTGTGTGTGTGAGTGTGTGTGTGAGTGTGTGTGTGAGTGTGTGTGTGAGTGTGTGTGTGAGTGTGTGTGTGTGAGTGTGTGTGTGAGTGTGTGTGTGAGTGTGTGTGTGTGAGTGTGTGTGTGAGTGTGTGTGAGTGTGTGTGTGAAGGTGTGTGTGAAGGTGTGTGTGTGTGAGTGTGTGTGTGAAGGTGTGTGTGTGTGAAGGTGTGTGTGAAGGTGTGTGTGAAGGTGTGTGTGAGTGTGTGTGTGAAGGTGTGTGTGAGTGTGTGTGTGAAGGTGTGTGTGAGTGTGTGTGTGAGTGTGTGTGTGAAGGTGTGTGTGAGTGTGTGTGTGAAGGTGTGTGTGAAGGTGTGTGTGAGTGTGTATGTGAAGGTGTGTGTGAGTGTGTGTGTGAGTATACCGTTCCGGCCTTCATAGGTGCTTGCTAACAGCATTTGCCCCTACAGTCTGTTAAGGCTATACGGGGGATCTTTATCTTTGTGTGTGAGTGTGTGTGAGTGTGTGTGAGTGTGAAGGTGTGTGTGTGTGAAGGTGTGTGTGAAGGTGTGTGTGTGTGAAGGTGTGTGTGTGTGAAGGTGTGTGTGAAGATGTGTGTGAAGATGTGTGTGAAGATGTGTGTGAAGATGTGTGTGAAGATGTGTGTGAAGATGTGTGTGTGAAGATGCGTGTGTGTGAAGGTGTGTGTGAAGGCGTGTGTGAAGGTGTGTGTGAAGGTGTGTGTGAAGGTAGGTGTGAAGGTAGGTGTGAAGGTGTGTGTGAAGGTGTGATATGTGTGTGTGAAGGTGTGTGTGTGTGTCTAGGTGTGTATGTGGAGAGCGGTACTGCTGCAGTTAGCGCGCTGAGCTGCGAACCCGGCGACCCGAGTTTGATTCCCGCTCACTGCCATCACCAGTGACGATTATTATAACCGGTCCTGGGCCTCCCCTAGGTCGACTCAGCCTCAAATGAGTACCTGCTGCGATGTGTAGCATGGGCGTGGTGCTGACCACCCACCCACTCGTGTGCCGGGCCAGCTATCATAGGCGTTACCACTCGCTAACAGCACTTGCCCCAACAGCCTGTTAAGGCTATTCGGAGGATATTTGTCTTTGTTTGTGTTCACGCGCGTACCTGTGTTGTGCAAACGGCAGGTGAGCGTGGACCAAGCATAACACCGGGCTTCTGATGATAGTGTGGCACGAGATGGCATCGGACACACACACCGCATCACGTGGTGTGGCACGAGATGGCATCGGACACACACACACCGCATCACGTGGTGTGGCACGAGATGGCATCGGACACACACACACACCGCATCACGTGGGGTGGCACGAGATGGCATCGGACACACACACACACCGCATCACGTGGGGTGGCACGAGATGACATCGGACACACACACGCACGTGGGGTGGCACGAGATGACATTGGACACACACACACACCGCATCACGTAGTGTGGCACGAGATGACATCGTACACACACACGTGGGGTGGCACGAGATGACATCGTACACACACACACACCGCATCACGTGGGGTGGCACGAGATGACATCGGACACACAGACACATACGTGGTGTGGCACGAGATGGCATCGGAGACACACCGCATCACGTGGGGTGGCGCGAGATGGCATCGGAGACACTCCGCAGCACGTGCAGGGATTGAATGGACCTCAGCTAAATAAATTTTTGTGTTTTACAGACCGTGTCTCATTGTCGCTTTAATTTATGACACAACACTCCCCCGGCTCCACCTTCATCTTAAACCTCTCCAGGAAGTAGAAGATGGGCGAAGATGTAATGAGGTGAAAGGAGCGAGAAGAGGAGGAGATGATGATGATGAGGTTAGAAAGAGGGGAAATGTTGGGATGACGGTGATAGACATCTGTGAAAAGAGCTGCATAGCTCATCGGATTCCAGCCTAAATAAAAATTCTGAATGCCGGTAAGAAGAGGAGTGAGGAGGTTTGGTGATGATAGAATCTGGGATGATGATGATGGTGGTGGTGGTGATGATGATGATGCTCGTCAGAGCGAGAGAAGAGGGGAGGGGATAGTAGAATGGGAAATGTTGAAACTATGACGATCATGGGATGTGGGGAGGCTCGGTGATGAGGATATCAGAATGATAATTTTAACTAAGACTGGAGGAGGAATCCGATGAGCTATGAAGCTCTTTGTCACAGATGTCCAGTAGGGGCACGGGGTCAGCAACAATTGGGAATTATGGCGATGCTGGGGGACTGGGGAAGGCGCGAGAGAAGCTGATGATGATGCTGGGAGAGACAGGGGGGGGGGGTGGAGGGAGGGTGGAGGGGGGTGGAGGGGGGGTGTTGGGGGGGATGGAGGGGGTAGAGGGGGGTGGAGGAAGGTGGAGGGAGGGGGTGTTGGGGGGGATGGAGGGAGAGGGTAGAGGGGGGGATGGAGGGGGTAGAGGGGGGGTGGAGGGGGGTGGAGGGGGGGTGTTGGGGGGGATGGAGGGGGTGGAGGGGGGTGGAGGGTTGGTGGAGGGGGGTGTTGGGGGGGATGGAGGGGGGATGGAGGGGGGGTGGAGGGGGGGTGGAGGGGGGGGTGCCCTTGGTTTGGTCACAGACCCCAAGGTCACCACAGGGTCTCGATATCCGTGCGTCCGTGACTATTTTAAGTGTCGATCAAATCAAGGTTTCTGCTTAAATACATCCCGTACTCTTTACATAAACGAACATACAAGGATTCCCCGTATAGCAGCAGCCTTTCACAGCCTCACGGGACAAGTGCCGTGAACGAGAACCTCACGTTCAAGGCCGACTGGGCACTCGACGGGGAGCGGGTGACCAGCACCAGTGCCGATGTTTACCACACACCGCACCTGGCACTCATTTGAGGCCGAGTCGATCTCGGGAGGCGCACGGCCGGTTCAAATATTCGCCACTGTTATTACTGGTGAGTGTGAATCGTCGCCGGGTTCGTAGCGCAGTGCGCTAACCATTGCGCCACCGCTCCCCATAGAAATATAAACAACGCGCATGCCGCAGCTGTGGTGGCTTCACGTCACGAGCGTGGGAGCTTTGTCTCACCTGACAATACAATTTGGACCTTCAAATATACACTCTCTCGCTCTCTGACTCTCGAACACACCCCGCGGCATTACTCAACATGAACGCAAACTCACCGCAATCAGGTGCTTGCCTGTACACATCGGGCAATTGACAAGCATTGATTCAAGCGAGCTAGATACTGCCGATGAGTCCACTGTGTGTCAAAACCAGTCCCTGCAGTGAATGTTGAACCAGTCCTTGCCTGTAAACACCTGGCTGTTCACCAGCATTGGTTTCAAGAAACCCTGACACTGCTGATGAGTCACTGTGCGTCAAAACCGATCCAGAGTTTATGCTTGTATTGAGTCAATGACGCTGCAACCATTGCACGCCCAAGTGGTGCGGTTGATGGGATGCATAAAAATACACCCTGTGTTTGTTAATGGAGAGGGAAGGGTGTGTTAGGAGTCGCGACTGATGATATAGTTTGAGAAATAACGAGGGGCTCACCTCGTCCCCTGCCTTCGCTCTCCTCTCCCTGAGGTCCGTGACCTCAGTCACGGCTCGATTCAGGCTCGACTCTGGCTCGGCTCTGGCTCAAGTGAGCCGTGGCTCAAAGCCGCGCACAGCTTGAGCCGGCTCTGAGCCAGTGCCGGATTATCCTAGTAGCACAAGTAGCTACATATGTAGGAGCTACACCACGTGTAATAGCTACACCACGTAGCTACTACACGTGTAGTAGCTACACTGCTACACCACGTGAAGTAGCTACACTGCTACACCACGTGAAGTAGCTACACGTAGCTACACCACGTGAAGTAGCTACACCACGTGAAGTAACTACCCCACGTGAAGTAGCTACACCACGTGAAGTAGCTACACCACGTGAAGTAGCTACACCACGTGAAGTAGCTACACGTAGCTACCCCACGTGAAGTAGCTACACCACGTGAAGTAGCTACACCACGTGAAGTAGCTACACCACGTGAAGTAGCTACACCACGTGAAGTAGCTACACCACGTGAAGTAGCTACACCACGTGAAGTAGCTACACCACGTGAAGTAGCTACGGGCCCCGCACTTTCAAGGGCCCCCTCGCTAAATGCTTTCAAGCTATCAATTCCTTGTGCTTGGCCGGGTTCGTAGCGCGGCGCGCTAACCGCTGCACCACCGCTCCCCAACCTACCCGCGCGCTGTGTTATTGGGGGAACGCGTGAGTTTAAGTTTGTTTTGTTCTCTGCTGTGAGACGGCGATGGGACACGCGGACAGCTGAGTGGTGCGCGAAGGCGGCGCGGATCCCTCCAGGATTTGAATTTCACTTGAGACGCAGAGAGAACGTGAACCCCATCCCCGTGAACAGAGATAACGTGAACCCCATCCCCGTGAACAGAGAGAACATGAACCCCATCCCCGTGAACAGAGAACGTGAACCCCATCCCCGTGAACAGAGAGAACGTGAACCCCATCCCCGTGAACAGAGAGTACGTGAAGCCCATCCCCGTGAACAGAGAGAACGTGAACCCCATCCCCGTGAGTCACAGTGAGTCTCTGTGAGTCGCAGTGAGTCACAGTGAGTCACAGTGAGTCTATGTGAGTCTCTGTGAGTCGCAGTGAGTCGCAGTGAGTCTCTGTGAGTCTGAGTCGCAGTGAGTCTCTGTGAGCCGCAGTGAGTCTCTGTGAGTCTCTGAGTCGCAGTGAGTCTCTGTGAGTCTCTGTGAGTCGCAGTGAGTCTCTGTGAGTCGCAGTGAGTCTCTGTGAGTCTGAGTCGCAGTGAGTCTCTGTGAGCCGCAGTGAGTCTCTGTGAGTCTCTGTGAGTCGCAGTGAGTCTCTGTGAGTCGCAGTGAGTCGCAGTGAGTCTCTGTGAGTCTCTGTGAGTCGCAGTGAGTCTCTGTGAGTCTCCGAGTCGCAGTGAGTCTCTGTGAGCCGCAGTGAGTCTCTGTGAGTCTCTGAGTCGCAGTGAGTCTCTGTGAGTCTCTGTGAGCCGCAGTGAGTCTCTGTGAGTCTCCGAGTCGCAGTGAGTCTCTGTGAGTCTCTGTGAGTCGCAGTGAGTCTCTGTGAGTCGCAGTGAGTCGCAGTGAGTCTCTGTGAGTCTCTGTGAGTCGCAGTGAGTCTCTGTGAGTCTCCGAGTCGCAGTGAGTCTCTGTGAGCCGCAGTGAGTCTCTGTGAGTCTCTGAGTCGCAGTGAGTCTCTGTGAGTCTCTGTGAGCCGCAGTGAGTCTCTGTGAGTCTCTGAGTCGCAGTGAGTCTCTGTGAGTCTCTGTGAGCCGCAGTGAGTCTCTGTGAGTCTCCGAGTCGCAGTGAGTCTCTGTGAGTCTCTGTGAATCTCTGTGAGTCTCTGAGTCGCAGTGAGTCTCTGTGAGTCTCTGTGAGCCGCAGTGAGTCTCTGTGAGTCTCCGAGTCGCAGTGAGTCTCTGTGAGTCTCTGTGAGCCGCAGTGAGTCTCTGTGAGTCTCTGAGTCGCAGTGAGTCTCTGTGAGTCTCCGAGTCGCAGTGAGTCTCTGTGAGTCTCTGAGTCGCAGTGAGTCTCTGTGAGCCGCAGTGAGTCTCTGTGAGCCGCAGTGAGTCTCTGTGAGATCTCTGAGTCGCAGTGAGTCTCTGTGAGTCTCTGTGAGCCGCAGTGAGTCTCTGTGAGTCTCTGAGTCGCAGTGAGTCTCTGTGAGTCTCCGAGTCGCAGTGAGTCTCTGTGAGTCTCTGAGTCGCAGTGCGTCTCTGTGAGCCGCAGTGAGTCTCTGTGAGTCTCTGAGTCGCAGTGCGTCTCTGTGAGCCGCAGTGAGTCTCTGTGAGTCTCTGTGAGTCTCTGAGTCGCAGTGAGTCTCTGTGAGTCGCAGTGAGTCTGTGAGTCTCTGTGAGTCGCACTGAGTCTCTGTGAGTCGCCATCTCTCCCTGCTGCACGGCCTCTGTACTTCTCTCTCCGCTTTCAACAATCTCACTTCTCCCTCCACTCCCCTCCTCCTGCCTCCAATCCGTCCCCCTCATCAATCCCTCCCTGTGGTCTCCCTCCCCCTCCCCACTGTATTAATTGGGATCAATGCGCTGTAATTGTTTAATAGCAGCGATTAGCAATGTCATGATGGGGGTGGGGAGGGTAACGGGGGAAGGGGGAATTTGAGTGTCGGCTGCGACTCTCCCACCCCCTGCTGGACGGGTTTATATTGAACAACGTAAACAAGACACTTTATGTAGACGTGAACACACCTGCACGTGAACACAGTAACACGCGAACACACCTACACGTGAACACAATTACACGTGAACACACCTACACGTGAACACAGTTGCACGTGAACACACCTGCACGTGAACGCAGCCGCACGTGCACACAATTACACCTGAACACACCCGCGCGTGAATACAATTACACGTAAACACGCCTACACGTGAACACAGTCACACTCAAACATAATTCCTCTTGAACACAATTACACGTTATTACACACCTGCGCGTGAACAAACCTACGCGTGAACATAGTTACACGCGAACGCACCTGCACGTGAACACAGCTCAACGGGAACACAGTTAGACGTGGCCACAGTTGCACGTGAACACAGTTGCACGTGAACACACCACCTGCCGGATGGGTCTTGAGACTCGGTGGGGTGAACAAAGCGGGACATCGATCACCACGGTGGCAGAGAAGTGGGAACGTCCCTCGGTCTCGATGCCGTGAGCACGTGACGAGGCGGTG